TTTTCTCTTCGGCTGAAAAATAGGTATTTATTTCGCCGTTTCCCTTCGCAGTCCTGGAGGCTGGCGTTTTCCGTTTCGGGGCTCTCGGCTCTGAACCACGCTGGTAATCGAGGATGCCTTTCATTCTGTGTTCCCAGAGGGCGGTCCTGTTCGCACTGGGAGTGGAGAAAAGCCACCGTCTTTCTGGGGGTGAACACACAGAAATGTGGAAGTGGGGGGAGGAATAAAAACCCCAACAAGTGGTGAGACGGCAGTCAGGACTAAACACTCCCACCTGTCTTTTTCAGAATGTAGGGGAAGAATACACTCGCATACCTGCTGCATTTTAGGGTAAATCTTATTTCTGGAGGTGCCTTCTCCTGAACAAGCCAAAGCTCCCCATTGGCTTTTCGCTGCTCTTGTTGCATGCTCCCCGTGTCTCTGCCTGTTAACATGGACCCGATGGTCAAGGTCACAGAAAGCAAGGTGCCAGTCCACAGCCCTCGGACCGCCTCCTGCTCCTCCCACGACCCCTGCTCCGATCTGCGCCACCCGTCATCATTTAGGAGGGACTCCTTTCCACTTCTCGAGTGAGCCAAGCTCCTCCCAAGATCAAGGCCTCCGACAGGCTCTCTGTCTGCTGGAAAGTGCTCCCGTGTCCCCGGGCTCCTGGCAACATGCACTCGTTCTTGCCACCGCCAGCTTCCCACTCACCTCTCTGCCGGGTTGGGGTCCCTCTGTCCCATGCTCTCGGAGCAACCCGTACCTCTCACAATTATAACCAGTTATTTGTGTAACCATGTCTGTCTTCCCCCGAGAGACTCGGCCTCACGAAGGCAGCGGCTGTACTTACCGCATTCTCACGGTGTCCAGGACAGTTGCCTAGGTGCCAGCTCTTCTCCGAGCGACCAGTTCTCGGAATGAGCCACTCACCAAAAGGGCCTCTAGAAATGACGTGAAAAGTTTACAGCAATTTACATTTCAGCGAGGTTATTGCAACTTCCACCGCAGCGACAGTGTGTCTTGTTGTCGGAACCCTGGCCGCCCTGCACATTAACAGAGTCAGGAGATTTCATAAATATTACACCGAGTTCCTGCCTTTCAATTGTATCACCTTTCAAGTTGGTCAAGTTACACTCCTCTATTTCAATCAGTCTTGCTTGTCTCGGTCCAGAGATTGTTTTCTTGCATGGAAGGAGGAGAGAGGCAGTTAATTTTCCAGGTAGTTTGCAACCAGGGGTAAAACCGAAAATGTGCTTCATGTCACAGATGCTCGAGCACTTTCTAAGACGGCATGTTCGGTGCATCCGTGACAATTTCCACCAGCGCCATATGAGCTGTGAATCATAATAAAAAAAGGTGTGACTGAGTCACCTCGCTCGGGTCGCTATTTGCAGCAAGAATCCCTAGAGCTTAGCTCGCGGGGTGCAGTGAGCTTGTGCTTTATAATGCAGGTGCCTGAGGATTTCTCAGGTGCTCAGCAGTGCGTGTGCACATGGGCTGGCTTTCCCCACACGCAGGTTAAGATATCCAGGATGTGCGGACTCGAACGGGAAGGTGAATCTTTCATTCAATGGAAGGACAGATGGAAGCACACCTGTGTGCGGGGTCCGGACTTTGTGGGGGGCCCCTCAGGTAGGCCCGTGCAGACCCCCGTGTGAAAACATTGCGGCACAATACCCACAATTCCACCACCTTCTGTCCTGCAAAAGACAGCACGTGGTTAGTTGAAACAAGAAATGGCGCCCCGTACTGAGAACGCTTGGAAGAGGTAGACACACCCACCTTTCGTGACATCCTGACACTGCTCGGGGACAGGGTGTCACCGTCAGGGTGCACGACAGTCGCCGTGTTAAAGAATACACCGGGCGACACAGTTGGGTACGAATGTCGTGGATAGCTGCCTGAAAAGTTTTGGCTGGTCAGCGAGTTGGGGTGTTGGTCATTGGATGTATTGGTAAATTCTTTTTTTTAAAAATATTTTATTTATTTATTTTTAGAGAGGGGAGGGAGATAGAGAGAGAGACAGAGACAGAGACAGAGAGAGAGAGAGAGAGAGAGAGAAACATCAATGTGCAGTTGCTGGGGGTTATAGCCTGCAACCCAAGCATGTACCCTATCTGGGGGTAAATTCTTGATTTGCTAGTTACAAAGAGCTGGTTTGGGTGACGGCCGTAGCGCGGTGTAACACCGGCGCTGGCACACAGTGAGGGGTCCGTGAGCATCCATTGAGGAATAAACGCTGTCATGTGCTCTGTGTTGCCATCACAATCGCCCTCACGGGTCTCCCCGGGCCCCTGCATTCCACGTGGGGGGATGGGGCTTTATCTCCGCCGGTCCCAGCCCCAGGAGGACCCTGAGGTCTCCTAGATTTGTTTTCAGAAGGATGAGTCTCAGAGTTCAGCCCAGTAACCCAAACCTCTGAAAACAAGAATATCAGTAACAAACAGCCCTGCCCCAAGCTGGGACTAAGAAATCCTAGCCGAAGAGAAATCAAATTTTATTTTTCCTGGCCAAGTCTCCTTGATTCAGTTTTGAGGGTCTTGGATAAATGTGTCAGAATTTTAAATAAGCATTCACAAGGGGAAATGGGACCCATCCTGACCCGGGGCCCTATCCCTCCTTCAACAGAGCATGAGGTCAAATACGGAGGAGGTGCAGAAGACACTGAGACACGGGACTGCAGTTCTAACGGACTTTCCGCTCTATCAACAGAGACGAAGGGAATGCGCAGGAAACACTGTTGGGAACGACACTGCTTTTAGGTTTTTAAGTCTTCGTCTTCCTCCCTCCTTATTGCTTTGCTTTCAGTTTAAGGGGGAAGCCGTGCTGGGTACCAGCCCGCCCTTGCTCTGTGCAGTGTTGCCTGGCTTCGCTTCCGCAGCAGGGGCCACCGGAACAGCCCACGATGCCAACCATCGGACCCCTGGCCCCACGTGGAGAGGGCTCGTGGTTAGGAGGTAGGCGCTGCTCTGTGCAGATTAAAGAAAGGGAATAAAGAGCAATCCCCCTAAAGTCACTGCCCAGCAATGTAACGGGATCGGGGAGATGCTGCAGAATAAACCCTGTTTGATGCTGGCATTGATCTTGGCCTCGGTGCTTCTGGCTGCTCGTTCGGGCTCTGCCACATGTTAGCTGCGTGACTGTGGGTGAGTCCTGTCACTCCTCGGAGACTCAGTTTCCTCATCTGTAAGGAGAAATCATTACTAACCCTTGCCTTGGTTTTGGCCTATGTCCCATCTCTCCCACCTGCCCCCGACTCTATGTTAGTAGCTTAAAATCCACCTTGCTAGAAGTAAGGATGAGTCTCAGAGTTACACCCTGGGTATCGGCAAACACCGCTGTAAGTCAGACTGGCATTTTTCCATACAGAGCTGGTTGTTGCCATTAGCCAGCACGTCACGTTGACCTATGTCTTCCTGCCCTTTCTGTTCCTGTTGGCACTTCCTGTTGGGCGACCCAACCGGAGCTGAAGAGCAAGGGAGCGGGTGCAGAGTTCCCGTCAGCCTGCAGCGTGCGGATCAGGGTGGGGGTGGGTGCGGAGGGAACCAGGGATGGGGGCGGGGTGGCACACAAAAGGGACCTGAGCGGGCAGCACACCCCTCGGGGCGGTTGTGAAAGTCGTATAAAACAGCGACTGTGACAGTGCTCAGTCCGCACTGAAGTCACTGCTCACACCAGGAAGTGCCGTAGCACCTGCAAGGGGCCGCCCTTGTAAGGAAGCAGCCGAGCCAAGGACGAGAGCAGGTCATCCCCCAAGGGTCTGGGCTTGGCCCCGTGTCATATACCAGACACTGCCTTTCTCCTCTCCTTCCTTCCTCCGCCCTGCTGCTGCCTGGGACACAGATGCCACTTCTGGGCCAACCAGGACGGCAGCTGCCTCCTGGGGCTGCAGGATGGAGGCAGGAAGGAGGGAGCCTCACCCCCGAGGCTCTGTCAGCTTTTGGCTTGCTGGCAGGAAGAGGTCTGGGAGCCCACCTCTGTGCCCATCAGCGCTGGCCAGAGAGGGTCCCCTGTCCCCAGCCCAGCAACCCTTGTTGGAACACCGGGGTCAGGGATTAGGGAAGGAGGGGGACAAGGACACGGTTTCTCAGCGAGAGAGAGCTGGGCAGGATGGCCTGTGGATGGTTACTTTTATACTTACCCGGGACAGCCAAGAGGATTGTCAAGCTACAGCGACTGAAAAAAGGAGAAAGGGAAGCAGAGAGCTCAGTGCTGAGTGAAAGTGAGGTGGCACTTTGTGTGCCCAGGTGGGAAGGGGGGCCAGCTCTTAGGAGCAGCCTCTGCAGCCCGTGGCAGGCCAGGGGCCCTCGGGGAGGCCCCATGGCTCTGGAGCCGGCCCGTGACCTGGTGCCATGCCCATTGCTTACTGCCCCTTGTTTTCTCTTTATAAATGCCAAAGCCTGCCATGGGAACCAAATAAAACCGAAACACGCACCAGTGTTTCGTTTCACACGGCACTTGGCGTTTCATAGTCGTCCAGGGACGTCCCTCCCGGCGGCCTGCGCGGCGGGCAGCGAGGAGAGCGAGCAGCGAGTGAGTCCCCCTGGCACAGTGCGCCCGAGCTGGGACACAGAGAGGTGGCTGTGGACGGGGCGCGGAGGGCGGCTGTGTCCTTGGGCAGAGCAACGCCACCGAGCAGACAAGGTCATCTCCAGCCCAGATTCAATTTACTTCTTGGAAAACCCTGAGGTGGGGACCGATGGTTGCCATGGGAACATCCACCTCAAATAGCACTGATTCGAGGGTTTAGCCGGTGATAGAAGGTTTCCTTCGTCTCAAGACTGGCCCTCACCTACCTGCCCGACCTGTTTGCGGGGCCTCTCGGCCGGGGCCCGCCGGCTCTCGGCCTCACCCCTGGGGAGAACCGCGGCAGGAACTCTCAGACAGCTGAGAAGACCCACACGCCTGCTCCATTGTGATGGGCGGGCTGCTTCTACGGCAACAGCGGGCACTCCCCGGAGCCCGTCCCCGTAGAGGACCCTGACGAGGAGTGGCTCCCAGGGGTGGAGCGTACGAGGCCATGGAGAGGTGACGGGCCGACCCCAGCCACCCCCCCTCCGTCCCTTTACAGAATGGCTAAAGGGAGGCGCTTCAACCCGCCTTTGGACCAGGACGGCAGATGGGTGAGAGCCCCTTCCCTTTCTCGGGCCACGGGGGCGGGGTGTGGTCAGGGCGCGGCCCCGAGTCCCGATCCCGTGCCTGCTGCTCCTGTGGCGTGGTTTGGTAGATGACTTCGCCCAGCCTCAGTTTCCCCGTCCATGAAGTGGGATCTCACCGCCTTCTTGGGGGGATTAAATGAAAGGACGTGTCTGAAACACTCCGCACGCCGGCACCTTGTGAGTGTCCACTGGGCAGTAGCGGTCGCCGGCGCCACATTTCTCCCCGTGGCGCCTACCTTCGGACACCGCGTAGCATGTATGAGATCCTGTGGGCTGCGTGTCTCCTCTGCCGCCACGCTAGCTCCACGGGAGCTGGGACTTGGTCTCTCTCATTCCCTGATCGTGTCCCAACGGCCTAGGGCAGGGCCCGCTGCACAGCAGGCCCTCAGACAGTGCTTGTCACGGGCGTTAACAGTTCACTGGAAGCCTGCAAACAAATTCCTGTTGACGCCCCCGCTCTCATCCCCAGTGAACCGTGAAACGGGGAGAGCCCGGAAATGGATTGTTTTCCCCCGTCGATCATTTGAAAACCTGCCCTTTCGGCTTCACGCTCTCCCTCAGACCCCTCTCTACGAGGTCACTTGTGCAGCCCCACGGGACTGTCTCCATTCTGCCGCCCCCCAGGGAGCACTTGCCTCCCACCCAAGAGTGAAGTCCTGGTCTTTTCGGTCTAGACAGACACGTGTGTATTCTCTTCCGCTTCATCCCAGAAAGATTTAACGTGCGGAAAAGCATCACAAGAAAATAGCCGAGTCTCAGCAAAATGAAAATTCAGAACTGGTCCAAGTACCCTTTAGAATAAGAGGCTGAGACGGGGAAAACGAGTCACACCTATGTTCGGGCATCACCGGGTCAGAGGAGACCGGGAAGCGGTGTGGACTCCAGCACGCCGATCCGCCGGGAAGGGGACATGCGGGTTTCTCCGACCGGCTTCGCCTCTGTCTCAAACCTGCAGCATCAGCTAGGGCTGTGTCCGACTGAATATTGTGAAAAGCTGGGTACAGTGTCTTAACCCAGCGGGGGCCTGTGTTTGTCCAGTAAAAATAAACGCAGAAGCTAGGGCGGTTCGGGCCTCGTACCCACGTTCCAGGGAGTCATCCGAGGCCCCGGTTCTTTGCAACGCTCTGTTCCGACACCCTCTGTTGGGGCTGTTTGACCTACACAGAAGGCCCCCAGCAGCCCGGACTGTCCCTTTTTAGCGACTCCCCTCCTCCGAGGTGACCCTGTCTGTCGCCCTTCCCCTGCCCGTCCTCTGGAGAGGCTGGGTGGTGGTCTTTTCCCCCTTGAACCCTGCTCCCCTCTCCTGGAGACTTCTGCCTTCACCTCAGGGGGTCCCGTGGCCAATGTAGCTGCAAAGGAGTGCAGGGAGGTGTTTCTAACCAACCACGTTGCCACCCGCCGAAGTCTGGCTCCTGTGACGAGGGAGGAATGGATAACGAATGTCCCGTCTCCTGCTGCAGCCCCAGGGGAGGTGCGCCTGGGCCCCTGCCTCGGCTAGAGAGACGGTGTCTCCCAGAGCCCCACATGAGCCTGGGGGGTGGGTCTTTCCTGCCGCCAGCTCCCGAGAGCACAGAAGGGACAGCCCTCATCCCGAAGTTTCCCAGCGTGGCTTGTGCACGAGTCGGGGAAGTGAAGGAAATTGGGGGCTTCGAGCCGGCCACAGCCCGTTCACGGGGACAGTCGTTGCCACCTTAGAAGTGACAGCCATTCTGCGGCTGACCTCGCTGGCTGCGCTCTGGCTGTTCCAGGCGGGCGTTTCCACCCAGCCCCCTGCCTATTTAGTATTTCAGTCCTCGCGTGATCGAATGCGGCGAAGATTTTCACCGCCAGCCCGTTAGCGAGCTGCATTTCACGGTTACGACATCTCACCGAGGGGTTTATTTCACAGCCGTCATGGTGCAGCCGTTAAGTATATATTTTAAAAGGGTGAAATTAAAATGCCGGAGCCCCTTTTTTTACAGTGATTTAGTCCACGGACTTGCAGAATGCTGATGGACTCGCGTCGGCTGTCATTTAAGTGCTAAGAGGGACATTCCCGAGGCAGGAGCCGCGCCCAGCCCTCCAGCCACCCTGTACCACCTGCCCAGAGGGGTGACCACCTGACCGGAGGGGTGACGCAGGCAGACTGGGGGCGGGGAAGGGTTCTGAGCTTGGAGGCCCTTTGTATGATTTACATTTGCTTAACAGAATAACTGTCTAAAAATATTAAAACATACAGTACAGGACGCATTGGAAATATGAAGATCGACTTCGTCAAATGTCCAGGCTGTCGCGCTAAGCGAGAAGAGCAGATGCAGGGTGGTGTGTGTCCTACGGGTCCCTGTGGTAAAGGGATCTGAGTCGCCTCCGCAGGTGCAGGTGTCTGCACCTGGTCATCGGGGCTCTCGGTGGCTCGTTGGGCACCTGGGGTGGCGGGGAGGGGAAGGAGAAGTGCCTGTTACCTACAGAAGTATTTAAAGTTTTTAGAAGCTACATTTTAAGTATGGTCCTATGTATGCAAAATTACACATATATCTGGGTGTCCATCCATAGAGGGATTTATGAAAAAGATGGTCACCCAGGAGTCCAGGGGAAAAGGTGACGTGATTTCGGGAATTTAACTTCCTTGTGTTTCTCCTTACTGCTTAAATTTTTTTTAAACCGTGAGTATGCGTGACAAGTCTAACCAGGAACACATACACTTCTCGTTGTGGCAAGCAAGACAATGGAATAGACGCACTTCGTTAAGAAGCACTTAAACCAGGGGTGTCTAACTCATTTTCATGGGGGGCCACATCAGCCTCATGGTTGCCTTCGAAGGGCCGACATAATTTCAGGACTGTATAAATGGAACTACCCCTTAACCGTTAAGGAGTTGAAATTACGTTCGACCCTTTGAAGGGAACCGCGAGGCCGATGTGGCCCCCGGTGAAAACGAGGTTGACACCCCTGATAAAACGGCGGAAAAGAAAGCCTCTCTCCTTGCCCATCCCCTTCCTCCGAGGGGACCCTGCCTGCGGCCACCCTCCTGCCTGAGAGACGGAGGGCGGGTTGGTGTGTGCCCTTGTCCGTCACCCTCGGTCCCCCACTCCCACTCTCCTCGGCCCCAGGCAGCCTCCCAGAAGAACGGGGATTCTTCTCCTTGGGTTTGTTCTTGGGAACGACGGATCGTCTTGTGTGCGTGGCTACTTGTTCACAGAGACGGTGGTAGTGGGCGGTCTGGCTCTGTTCCCGCTCTTCTCCACGGAGACCTGTGTTCTAGGAGACCCCCCCTTCGCTCCGCGTCACCCAGCCCGTGGCTTCTCCCCGCCGCTGGGAACACCCCACCAAGGGCGCAACACCGATGGTGTAACCTCCCCACCCTCGCACCTAAACAAAAGCTGTGTTTTGCCGCGTATAATGCGCGCCCACGGTTTTTGTGTGGATTGTACACGGGATTATTACACCCCCATGGTGTGTCATCATTATACCCACATATAATGCACATCCTTATTTTTCCCTCAAACATTTGGGCAAAAGGTGCCCATTATACATGGCGACACACAGTAGAAACATACCAACTACATTCTTTGCAGACAGGAAGCGTAAGTCACCTGAATAAATAGTTCTGTTGTGACTGGGGAAGGAACGAGAGGGAATGGCAATTGTCTGGTGTCATTATAATCCGAAAGCGGAGGAGGGAGGGCTGCCTGCGGCCGTGGCAGTGGCTTTGGGGACCAGGAGGAGACAGCTGAGAGCGAAGACGGTTGCTGAGCTCTGTCTGGGCGCATGCATTCTCCGTCGTAATCACACCTGCCCTCTCACGTATGTAGGGGTTACTCCCGTTTCACAGAGACGGCGGGGCTCGGGAAGGTGGTCCCCTGCATGAGGCTCCCCTCGCAAGAGAGGGAGCTGGGCTTGGACTCGGGGCTTGGGACAGTCTGTGACCAGCCAGCGTGTCGTGTCTCCTCCCTTCACGTGGGGGCCTTGTCTTTAGTCTGTGTTTCAGTTTCCCCTTTTATTCCACTCCCAGAGGGCCCACCCCCGTGCCCACTGCAAGAATAAAGGGCTCCTCCCAGCTGCCCAGTGTGGCTCTCGATGGTCGTCCACCCTGAAGAGAGCTGCCTCCCAAGGCCGCCCCCTCTTCCCGGCGCAGCCCGCATCCAGGGACTGATGGAGGAGCGTGCACAGAGGCCCGGGCCCCTCTCCCCGGCTCAGGACGACTCCGAGAGACCACCCACGTCCAGAGCTCCGAGTGGGGCTGGTGGGGGCCCCCGCTGGGTCCACCTCCCTCTGCCCAGAGCCCTGCTTGCTTCCCTCCATCTGCTAGGGAGGCTCAGAGCCCCCCACCCCCCAATCATCTTCCCACTATTGACCACCCCACATTCTCCGTGGAGAGCCACCTGGGACCCTTCACTCCTCAGCTTCCCTGAGTCTTAGGGTCCGCCTCACAACCCGCAGGAGGTTGGCTCCCCCTGAGACCTCGGGCTGGATCTTTGTCCCCCAGCACAGGGCGCACCCCGACCGGAAAGAAGATCTCAAGTAACACATCTCCACCCACTCCGGGCTCGCTCCTGCGGGACCACACCCTGCCCGCCAGGCCGCCGGACCCTCTCCCGGCTCCAGCGCAGCAGGGGTGGGCTCGGGAACTCGGAACAACCGGCAGTGATGGCCTGGGGCCATGACAATATTTTTTTTGTCTTGGAAAGAATCCTAAAAAATTATGCCATTGCCATCGCAGGCCAGAAGCACCCAAATTGCATTTTAATCACTTTACAGAGGAAGCCCCAATCCTTGGCTTGGAGATTCCGATGTGCCTGGTTTTAATCAAGGCGTGTGCTGTTTTCCAGTTCCCCCACATCGGGTTGCCACAGAAGACGCCGGAATCCATCACCAGGGCCACGCTGAAAGAGCCCCGCAGCCCGCGAGCCTCTCGGCAGGCGGAGGAGAAGCTGCCGCCCATCTACAAAGTCCGAGAGAAGGTGAGTGCAGGGCGCCGGCTCCAAGCTCCTCCCACCCCCACGCCCCCCAAGCCCCCCACGCTCCTGGCTCTCGGAGACTGGGTCCTTCTGCCTCGGAAGGAACTGCTCACCTACCGGCCCCGGACGCCTCAAGGGGGGTAGCACCCCAGCCCGATCCCCGGGGCCACTGTGACACCTAGACGCTCTCTCTGAGGAGCTCCCTCCTGGCCCAGGCAGTCCAGGGAGGCTCCTCTGTGGACAAAAAGCAACCCCCTTGGTTACAACTCACCGCCCGGGAGCAGCGTGCCCTGAAGCAGAGGCGGGCATCAGCCTCACGCACCGTTCCGCACCGGCCTCCAGGCCCAGAGGGTCTCAGGATTCCTCTCCAGGTTTCCGTCCCAGGAGCCTGTGAATGTTTCCTTCCTTGCCTCCAAAGGAGGTGTCTGAAAGAAAATGTGTATGGTTCTCAGCCATAAAGGCTGCCTTTCATAAGCTTGGGCTGACGCGCACGGCTATACCTTCGCCCTCGTGGGCTGTGTTTGCGCCGTCTCCGGGGACGGGATTAATTCTCACTTAGTGGCCACCGTGGCCCACCTGTCTTCCCGCCACGCCACCACGGGCCGGTTCTGAAAGTGCGTGGGGGTTCGGAGGGGGGCCTCTCACCCCCGCCCCTTTTCCTCTCTCTCGCAGCAAGCCGTGCACAACAGCTTCCCCTTCTCTGTCCACGACAATCGGCACAGCTTCCAGAATTCTGGATTCTACCTTGACTCCGTGAGTATCTCTCCCCGAGTTACTAGTCGCATGGCAGGAGCCATCAGGGCTCTTGGCTTCCGGAGACGTGTTGAGGACAGAGGACTGACCTCAAAATTGGAACAAGGTCAAAGCCTGGTCAATACTAGGTTACAAGAAAAAAAAAAAACGTGGGAAGTTTCCCAAGTTCCACCCAGCTTTCGAAGTCTGCACCAGCTTCCGACGGGGTTCTGTGAACATCCTACGTGTACACTGACTCGTCAGCGAGCTTTCTTGGGAAGGGCAAGAGGGACTGCCTACATGTGTCTCTGCATAGCAGAGGCAGGGCCCACAAGGAGGGGTCTGAGGGACGGGGAGCTTACGTTACAGAAAGAAGGATTTCCTAATCACTGGAGTCGTCTTTTCTCTGGAGGTGCTGAGTTCCCGCCACTGGAGAAAGTAAAGTCCGATCGCACTTGGTGGTGGTGGTTTCACGCAGCACCGTGCCTTGGAAATGTGTCACAAGCCATATGTGTAGCTTAAATTTTTCTAGTAACCACGTTAAGTAAAAAAGAAACAGATGAAACTAATATTTATATATTTTATTTAATCTGATAGTTCTCCAAATCATCATTTCGACACGTCATCAAGGAAACATTGTTAATGAGGTATTTTACATTCCCCCAGCGAAGTCTTTAAATCCAGTCTGTATTTTACACTTACGGTTCCTCTGAGTCGGGAGTGTCCACATTTCAGGTGCTTAATAGCCCAGGTGGCCAGGGGCTGCCGAGCAGCACGGGGCAGCGCAGGGCAGGGCAGGGCGCACGTATCTTAGGGCTGTGCCGGGTGACCTGGGAGAATCCTTACAGAAACTGAAAGTCCACGATGATGATGTGATGATGATGATGATGATGATAGTAATACCCACTGTTTATTAAGCGTAAGCCGTATGCTACCACCACACATGATCTCATTTATTCCTCACTGCAGCCCCATCGGTTCATTGCTCCTACCATCCCCAGTTTGGGGAGGAGGCGACTGAGAGCCAGTGAAGTTAAACAATGTCACCTAAGTTACCTTGTCCTCTCCGATGCGGTATCTGAGTCACACTGAAGTGGTTTAACTGGAAAAACCTGGTTTGCCTCTGCAGAGGCCATTTTTTGGAACTGTGAATGCATTTTCTTAGAACTATGAACGTGCCTCGGATTGTTGCTTGGGCATCCCAAAGCTTTTTCTAACTAGAGTCTGGCTATTATATGCTTCCAAATAGTCTAGTATTTAATTTTTTTATTTCTTTTTTCACTAAATGTTTTAAATTTTCTGTATGGTTAGAAATGTTAAAGAGCGTTCTTTTGTTGTAAATCTCTAGTTCTATGGGTTATAGTAAGTTTTATACAATATAACCTGTGATTTCTATTTTTTTTTTTAATTATAAAGATCATCTTGTTGCCCTGGGTGGTGTGGCTCAGTGGACTGAGTGCTGGCCTATGAACTGAAAGGTTGCTGGTTCATTTCCAGGCAGGGCACATGCCTGGGTTGTGGGCCAGGTCCCCAGTTGCGGGCATGCAAGAGGCAACCAGTCAATGTTTCTCTCCCTCTCTCTAAAAAAATGAATAAATGAAACTCTTAAAAAAAAAAGAAAAAAAGGTTATCTTTGTTATCTTGCATATGATTTATTTTAACATGTGTTTTGTTGGTGTTAAGAAACAATATATCTCCCCCCTCTGTTGGTTACAAACTTCTTTATATTAGTTCAGGATTAGCAATTATTTTATTTAAATCCTTCATATACTTTTCTTAATATTTGTCTTGATCTATCAGTTTTTCCTTCTGTGATTATTCTTGAGCCTCTAAATTTTTTTTGCCTTATATGGTTTAATACCATGTCTTTCTGCATAAAAATTCATTAGTATTTTATTTTCTTGGTGGCTTTTATTATTTATCAATGTAAATTAACCCTCTTTACATGCTTGAATGCATCTAGCCATGAGTTCCACATCTTGATATTAGCATTGGCACTATTATTTTCCTTTTGCTCAAATCTGTTCCTTATATCATGGTCCATTTCCTTGTCTTCATACTTTGTCGTCGTTTTGTTTTGTTTTGTCTTTAATTATACATAGAATGGAGCGTAGTTTTTAAAAATCTAGGAGTCATTTCTTTAAATGAAAACTGGACTCATTCGCATTATTATGATCATTGGTTTTGGGTTTATTTTTTCCATCTCTTTTTTTTTCTAGTTTCTTTTTTTTTAAGATTTAATTTATTTATTTTTAGAGAGGGAAGGGAGGGGGAGAGAGAGAGAAACATCAATGTGCAGTTGCAGGGGGTTATGGCCTGCAACCCAGGCATGTATCCTGGCTGGGAATCGAACCTGTGACACTTTGGTTTGCAGCCCGCGGTCAATCCACTGAGCTACGCCAGCCAGGGTTATTTTTTTCCATCTCATTTTCTGCTTCCTAGTTACCACACTGGCGTGCTGTCCCCTGCCCCGCCCCCACCGACTTGGCTGGGTTGAACTTACCTGCTCACCCGGACTTCTGTTGATATTCTACTCGTGGGTGGTACCTCTTAACTATACATGAGAACTACGTTAACACCATATTGCTCCCTGGACATGAACGTGAATATCTATAGCTTCTCCCCAGGAATAAGGCAAGCTCCTCGGAGTGCTATTCACATCACTTTCTAAGGTTCTTGTGCTGGCCACTCAGGCCGTGTTCTCCCGACTCACGGGAGTTCCATTCTCCCGGGGTGACCTTGAGTGGCCTTGAGTTCCACGCTGGCCCCTCGCGCTCTCTCTCTCTCTCCATTTCCTCCCCCCTTGACCCTCCCACCCTCCTCTCTCCCTTCCTTCCTTTCTTTTTGTGGATTCTTAAATTTTCAGTGTATTTCAGAGTCACGTTATCAGCAAGAATAATATTTAGAAGGACAAGCGTTTCTTATTACTTTCCTTGTGGTTCTTTTTCCTATTTATTTTACGTCTTTCTTTTATGTTTTCATTTTTCTGGAGTATCTGGAAGGAACTGCGGGAGAAGGGGCCCGGGCAGTATAACCTTCCCTTCATCGCCCCAGAGCCCCCCACCCACCCCTTCTCCTCGCTGCGGCCCCCAGACGGTCTGTGAGGTCTGTATTCCTCAGGCCCTTTGGTCCCAGGGCTGCTCCTGAGCTGTTTCTGGGAATTTCCACACACACGGGTCAACGGTGCCTTTATGAAACGCCTTAAATGACCCTGTTTGGGTGTGCCACCTGCCACTGTGAACGACACTGACCCTAGGAAAAGGCAGCCTCACTTTACGACTGCAACCTCATGTCTATTTCCTTCTGGTCTTTCACCTAAGCACAGTGTTTTCTTCCTCCCCTGGTCACGACCAACTCAAGGGCAGCATTTTGAATACATGGAAATTCCCAGAGTCATGTGCAAGGTGCTGAGACGTAACGAGGAGGCCTGTGGGCCCCTGCCCACCGGTGCCGCTTTTTCTCGGAGCCCTCTGGCCTGAGAAAGAGCCCAGCTTCTTCAGCTTCTCAGAGTGGGCATCACCTACCCCGCCGAATGCTGGCGGGGCACTCTGCGCAGCCGCCTGGGGGCAGAGACCCCACCTGGGGTCCCTGGGGGTGTCCAGGCTGGTTCATGGGCTATTTGTGTCTGGGATTCTCTGGCTCTACCCTCCGTGTCTCTAGAAGTCCGGTTCCCTGGTGGGAGTGCAAAGCTTCCAGAACAATAGCAAGACACCAGCATGTTTTGAGTGCTGTTTTATACCCTGCAATGGGTTGGTAAAGCATACCTCTTATAATGGTGGTTATATTCTGCATTTAAACACAGGATGTCGGCCCTGGCTGGGGAGCTCAGTTGGTTGGAGTGTTGTTCCAATACACCAAGGTTGCGGGTTCGATCCCCAGTCAGGGTGTTACAGAACAGACGTGGGGGGTGAACAGTATACTATTACCAAATAGACTCCGGGCGGGGGTGGCCCCCTACCCCATAGTCGGTCCGCCTTGCCCACCGCCAGGGAAAGGCTTCTCTCAGTGCCAGAGATCGGTGAAAAGGAAAGGGATTACGTATTTAAAGCATTATACAAACTTAAGAGTAATAACATAATGTTTTCATTGGAATCCCAAAGTCTTTTAGAATACCCATAAATGCACAGTCCTTCCTTCCCCCTTCTGCCCAGTCTGGGGTACCGTAGCTCAAAAAAGGAAGTAGAAGCCTGTGGTTTTTCTCTGCCCAAGCCTCGTGGTCCCCCAAACCCCCAGTTCTTCTCTGCCCAAGCTGCATAGTCCCAAAAAGACACCGCTTGGCTGCTGAGCCTGGGTTTAAATCCCAGCGCCAATCTTCCTCTGCCGCACCATTTCCAACTCCTCCCACAATTGGCCACAGCTGCCACCATTCCCGTATTTTTTTCCCAGCTTTTCTGGGCTGCCATAGTAAGTCCGGACAGGTGTGGCCCTCTGGTGTGGAACCAATCATCTCCAAGCTCTTACGCAGGCGCTGTAACCAGGGAAAGTTGCCTGCCAGTTACATCCTGGGTTGAAGTCACTCCCATCCCCCTGGCTCGAAGCGACCACAGCTGTTTAACATAACCATGAAACCAGTTAAAGTTTATAGATATGTTAAACGACCGTTCCAGAGGTTATCTGGAAAACTGGCTATTCGAAACAACTCTCAATGGCCCCGTTCCATGCATCCCACCCCCCAGCTCAGACTTGTGGGGGTGAGGACATCCTCTCTCTCTATATCTATACACACATATTTTTTCTAATATTTCCTGGACACTGAGTTCTGGACCCCATTCCAAATCCCCATTTGCCCCCCACCCCCTTGGCTGCACCCTGTTATAAGGGCACATACAAGAACTAGCCAATGAATTCGTAAATAAGTGGAACAACAAACTGATGTTTTGTTCAGTACCTTCTTGGCTCTCTCTCTCTCTCAAATCAATCAATAAAAAAATTTTTAAGTATAAACATAGGATGTCATGTAGCTAGTTTCACTGTAGACCTCAGGACTGTGTGACCTTGACTCTTTTCCCCCTAATCTTCTCGATTCTTCCCCAGGGCCTGGGACTCAGGAAGGTCTCCCCAGAAAAAAGGCAACATGCTTCGAAAAATTTCAATCTTTGGGCGTGTGACTACGTTCCATCTTGTCTCGATGGCTTTTCAAGTTACCAAATATCGTACGTCTATCGGGAAGCTGTGGTGGTCCCGATTTTCAGACGCTTTCCAAGACATTACGATGAGATATGGAGCTCCTTCAGGTTTATTCCTGAGCGGAGCTACGCAGAGTTTTTGAAAAAGAATCCGAAAGTAAGGTTCGCTGTTGACAAAAAGGCTGATTCTTCACTGGAACCCTAACCCTTCCAGAAGATCCTCGATGCGTTTTGTAGCACTGGTGCTCGATGGGACGGTCTGACCCAGCGCTCCCAATTGCCGCAAGGTTCGTTTAGGGTTGGACGTTGCACACGTCTGGACGCCAAGGCCGGGTTTCGTCGTGAGAATGCGGAAGAGCCAGAAAGCCAACAGGTTACGGCACCACGCCTGACCTTTAAGAAATTTTTTTTTATTATTTTTAATTAGGTTGAAAAAAATATTCAAGTCCTCATAAAATAAAAGTATGCGGTTATGTTGTAAATGAATTTAATGAATTTTAAAATTGCCACGTTAACTTTTGGGGGAGTTTTAAAAATTACCCAACTACTACGCGGTTATGTTTCCACTACGAAATTTCAAACAATGCTGAAAAAGCAGGAGCTCCCCTCGGTTCTGCCGCATCTGCAGTCCCCGTCCCGTCCTCAGCAGAAGTTGACCATGGGTTTTCATTCTGTGCATTTACGGTCACAGAGCTGTGCAGGACCACACAGACGTTTAAACACAAGCCGGGTGACACAGCGCATAGTGTTTTATAACGTTCTCTTGATATTTAACAGTGCATCTCAGAATTCTCATGGTGTCCATGTGTACACACTGATTTGCTTTTTATTTTTTTTCAGTTATTTTTAGAGAGGTGAAGGAAGGGAAAAAGAGAGGGAGAGAAACATCGATGTGTGAGAGGAATATCGACTGGCTGCCTCTTGCACACCCCCCACTGGGGACCTGGCTCACAACCCAGGCAGGTGCCCTGACCAAGGATTGAACCAGCGATCCTTCTGTTTGCAGGCTGACGCTCAGTCCACTGAGCCACACCAGCCAGGGCTGGTTTGCTTTTTGGACTGCCTGCCACACCGTATTAAGTGTGGCCGCACCTAATACGATGTGCCATAATTTTAAAAAGTATCTTCTTTTTTTCTTTAAAGATTTTATTTATTATTTTTAGAGAGGGAAGGGAGGGAGAAAGAGAGAGAGAGAGAGAGAAACATCAATATGTGGTTGCTGGGGGCCGTGGCCTGCAACCCAGGCATGTGCCCTGACTGGGAATCGAACCTGCGACACTCTGGTTCGCAGCCCGTGCTCAATCCACTGAGCTACGCCAGCCAGGGCTAAGAAGTATCTTCTTGCTAAGGAGAGTTCTAACTGTTTCTAATTTTTGGCCATCACACCACACGAACCACAGGAGCGTGCTTGATCAAACGCTTTGAGTACACGTTTAGGGGAGGACCCGGGGGTAACCTCTGAACTGTCGCCTTGTTAGTGGCGGCTTGGGCCTTATTCACGGCTCAAGTTTGAGTCGATGCTCCCAAAGTTCCCTAGGAAAAGACGGGACCCACTACGCTCCCGCCAACGGGTCTGTGCATTCCATCTCTCCTGCCCCAGATGATCTTCTAGAGACTTCAGGAGAGATACTTAAGGACAAAAAAAAAATGGCATCTTATTGTTTATTTTGCATTTCTCTGGTTGTTAGTGAAATTGAGCGCCTGGGCATCTTTTCCTGCTCGGTGGCCATTTGTAGGTCCGTCTGTGAACCGTCACGGCCACTCTGTACCCCGAGGTTCTTGCTCATGTTTGGGTATTTTCCTGGCAGATGGATTCAGAATGAGCTTGTCGAGGAAACCACTGGCCATTCCGTAGGAATTTTTCAGGCCTTAGATGTTGATTCAGGGGGCAATCGACATCTTCGTGCCTCAGCGTGCTCTCCATTTATATAAATCTCGTGTTCTTCGGTAAACTTCATCATTTTCTTCATGCAGCTTTTCAGGTTGCTCTTCTATGTGCATACTTTTTAACTTTTGCAGCTGTTTTGAATGTCATGTTTTTAAGTTACACTTTTAGGTTGATTTTTTGCCTGGTGTGTAAAGAAGCTATTTGTTTCTGCATGTAAATCTTGTAGTTTTCACCTGGCTAAACTCCCAATAAACAAACAAACAAACAAACAAACAATCCATTAACACAATAAAGTTCTAATAGGTTCTCAGTTGATTCCCTCTGATTTTCTCCGTGGTTGGTTGTCATCTGGGAGGGTGAGAATCTACCTTACCGCCCTCGAGTCCCCACCCTCACACCCAGGGCTCGGGAGCCGGAGCTGCGAGCAGGACGCATTACCAGAACTGCGCAGTCTGGCCCCGCCCCCGCCCCGCCCCGCCCCGCCCCCTGCCGACGTGCGGAACGCGGTTCTCCAGCTGTGTCTCTTTTTCTTCCCCCCTGGGGTGTCCTCACAAACTCGAACTTGCCCACCCTCTGCCTTGCCTCCCCTTTCTCTGCCCAAACACCAACAATGTCCAGCAAGAGTGACCCGAGTTCCATTTCCTGGAGGGGAAATGTTAAAAATTACCAAAAAGGGACACAGAACCAAATCTGCAACCATGTGAAGGGGGGACCTGTGGTTGGGGGAAGCATCCCCCCCACCCTCCAATTTGGGATTACAGAGTAGTGGGGCAGGGTAGAGTTATCATTTACAGAAACGCAAATTAGATTACTTGCCTTTAAAAAAAAAAGTCTTTTTTTCACTTAATTGTTTTCTACATAAAAAATAAACAACACCGATCCATGAGTTCACAGTTTCCAATCCAGCAAACCAAGAACAAAGGGATACAGCGCGTTAATGCAGGAGTAGGTCTTGGGGGCTCCCGGGTGGATGCCCCGAATACAACGACCCAGTTCCCCAAACGAAAGTCTGTAATAACTTGGCACCATGTCAGTTCTTTGCTTTATTTAGCACGTTGTTGGGAAGAGGAATAAACAGTCAGTTAAAGGAACCCCAACTTACTAATCAATTACCTGCAGGTGTTTATAGATTTCTTCTGCTCTGATGAATTAGACTTGGACTGGTGCCACCCTGGAAATGATTCGGATGCTGCAAGGGACGGCTGATGGCTCAGGGATAACGTTTCGGGGGGGGGGGGCCGCGGGCTGGTGCCCACCCCCACACGCCAGCGGGAGGCTCCGGGGACCGACTGTGACCAGGACAGACGTGCACATGACCGCTGAGCTCCTGTGCACTCAGAAACCAGACCTACAGGACCTCAGACCCGACACTGAGAAGAGCAGACCGGTGATTTTTTACAATGCGTAGCCCGCTCTTAAATGCCTCCTGTTTCTAGGCAGAGAAGTGCGTTCCCCGTGGGTCCGCTCTGACACGGAGGACGAATTTTAACGACGGCCCTCTCTTTGTTTTGCGAGACTTTGCGGCTGTCTTTGCCCACAGCCGCCTCTGGGGGGGGGGGCGGGGTGGCCGCCAGGTTCGGATGTGATCCCTGTGGTCCCCTCCCATGACCGACACAACGGCCGTTCCAGGCAGGTCAGCGGTCAGTCTGCGACTCCCACCAGAGTTCAGGAAGTATCCTTGCGGGAGCAAGGATGCTTCACCCCGTTCAACCACATATTTTTAGCCTACAGAGTCGGTACCCTCCTGAGGATTCCTGGTACAGGGAGGAGATGGGTGTCGGGGAGGAGAGGCTGGAAACGATGAGCTAAGTATAGGTTTCCCATATGTTCGCTGCATCCGGGGAAGCGTCCGTGCTGTTGCGGTGACGCCCGAAGCGCCATAGAACAAGCAGGAAGAATCGATTTCCTTCTCCAGGCTCCTTGCTACCACCCACGATCTTTGGTCCTGGTGCGGCATCTCCAGCCAGCGACTGGGAAAGAAAAAGTCACCGGCTCCTGCCGCTTGGCTCTGGGCTTTTCCCTGGGCGGGGAACACGGCTGGCGCTTCCCAGCGTGTGGGGGGCCGTTGCTGCAGGAATCCCGGTACTGCGCCGGGGACTCGGGACGTGCCGCGTGAGCGTGAAACGCTGTGCGCTGCCTTTATCAGTGCCTATCAAAACAAACGAAAACATCTCACGCAGCAGAGTATTTCAGTAAACACACCACGGATAGACCCAAACAATCCCCCCAACTATGAAACGGCAGATCAGCCCCCTGTCAGAGCCCGCCTGGCTGAGTAAACGGAATGAATAAAACGGCAGCTCACACGCTTGGCTGCGGCTTTCGGAAGCGGCGGAGTCTGTGAGGCGCCGCGTGCGCTGTCTGCACAGAGGAACCAAGGTAACCTCGGGCGTTGCGTTCTCGCTCCCAGCTGAAATCACACGGATTTGCGAGCTTCCAGCCTGGAACACACGTCCCTTCTTTCTCTCCGCCGTCCGAGTGGGAGGCGGCCTCCCCGTGGTCAGACCCTTGCAAGAGCCAGTGTGCGCCCTTGGCCGGGGCACTGATGTATGGAGCACCGGCCGAGCGGAAGTTTCGGACAATCCGATGTGGAGTCACTGTCGGCCACGACAGTTACGTCAAGACTGAGGTAATGGGGTGTAACGGGAACCCCTTCCGAGGGGCCCAGGGTGCCCAAAACCACAAGTCTGGACGCGCAGGCAAGGGCTCCATCTGGACACCGATACGTGTGTGGGGCCTCCGCCCCGGGGGGCTGTGAGAGCTCAGAGCTCTGACCACTGGGCGCTCAAGCCTGGCCATGCAAGGGGCCATGCTGGGAGCCCTGCCGGACCTCCACTCCCCCGGACACACGCCACCACGGCCGCCGCCTGGCTTGAGACCGACGCCTGCCTTGCCCCCTGCGGGTGCCGCCAGTGACCTCATGCCAGTCACTCGTTGTGCTCCCTTCTATGGCGTGGGCTGCCCCCCCTGCATGTAACTTGCACGTGACTCTATTAGCTTATTGGTGGGTCTCCCCTAAGAAACCTGGCATCGTAGAAAGACACGAACATGTGTGAGCGACTCCTTTTGGGGACACTCCCTTGTCATGACAGCTGGTCTGGCGGCACCATTGGCTGCAGACTCCCCTGTTCCCAGCACAAAGAGCTACACTGCTCATCGCCCCATGTTCCCTCCAGCGGCGGGCAGGGTCCTCCGTGACCAGGGTACATCCTAAGGACCCTGGGACGCATTGCTATTCCTCAGGCCCGAGGGAGAAACACGGAAACGACCTCAGGTATCCTCCTGCGGTTTATCACCTTTGCAGAAGATTCCGTGACTGTTATCAGCCAGAGTGGCATGTCCGGTCCTCCAACCAGCGCCATTGCGGTTCGCAAAGAGGATCGGGAAATCTCAACGTGACCCCACGGGAGAAATCTTACTGCTCCTTC